CCCCCCCCCCCCCCCCCCATATCTCACACCATGGGTCGGTCCTGCTGGCTGGCAGTCACTGGGAACACACCAGGGGTTCTGAGCAGAAGGGGGGAGGTGTGAAAGAGGATGTTTCACCAGATGGTCACGTGACCCAAGATCAGTATGCCAGGCCAAATCTGGCGCAGCATGACGTGTTGCATCCCAGTGAAGAAATTATGGGATGCCATCATCCTTCACGGGGGGGGGTCCCTCACAATGAAGTTTTTGGAGCGGGGGGAAATACGGGGCAAATTGCTAATTAGTTTTAGAACAATTCACTTTCAAGAAAATAGACACATTTAATTTTAGGGGGGCTGAGACACAAAATCGGAGGGCTTCAAGGTCTGTATACACCTGTGGTTGTGACATTCACCAGCCCCCAAGGAGTGTTTAGTGAAATGAATGTGTACCCCCCATGTTTTAAAAAGGCTGCGGGGTATATGACACTTTTCAGACACCAACTAAAACCTCCATGTACCAGTGCAAAGGAATTTAAAATAAAAAAAATACTATGTAGCTGAATCCATTTCATATCTGATGCTCTAAGTTTGACATTAGTATTTGACATTAATGTCGCTAATTAATATCTGCAGTGGATGACTAGACAATTACCCTGCCTTTGTCCTGCTTCTCTAGGGTAAACCTGGAATGAGTGGTGCTCCCGGCCCCAAAGGAAACGCTGTAAGTTAAAAATAAAAGAATGCAGACGGCCATGACCTCATACAGCTCAGATTCATGTCTGAATTTCACCTGTCGGTGCGCCGGCTGCGGCTGTGGGCAGGCCAGACAACGTGAAACTTACCGTAGCTTATTGAGCTCGCTGATCAATCTGCCCAGAAAAGGGAACCTTCCCTTATAAAGCGAGACAGGAAGAGGGAATGGCGTGAACATGTACAACACAAGCATGGGCTGAAGAGAAACAGACAAGATCTCATGCCATGGTGCTCATCACCGAGATGAGATTCATAAAAATATAGTGTGCCGACAAGCGTTTTTAAGTACGCTAAATCATGGCTAATGTTACTGTACATAATTCTTCTGTCATGATAAGTTCAGGTGTAAGGGCAAGCCAGGTTTGACACAGATATTGTAACTGTATGATGAAAGATGTATGAAAGTAGATGAAGTGCCTTACGGGGATGTATGTATCGGATGGGCGGGCGATAAATTAGGTCATGATGTCAGTGGTACTCAAGTTCGGCTGCGCTGTGCTCTCCATGCTGCGTTTAACTGTATCTCTACGTTTTAGAGCAGAGCCTTAGTGAGAGAGTAGAACAGACGATAGAAGCAAGTGGTGCAGGACGATATGAATTAAACCTTCCGTCTCTCTGCCTTTATCTGCCTTTTGTTATGTCCATCTTCCACCAGGGACCTGTCGGACCAGCTGGGGCAAGAGGGGATCCAGGGTTCGAGGGGCTCGCAGTAAGTACCTGCCTGAGATACGAAAGTGGGCTTGACCTTGCCATGACCTTGTCTGTGATGAGATCACCCGTATTGCCATTTATGGTCGATTCAGTTGCAGTTCAGTCAGGACAAAAAGATTTCTAGTTCCAAGGGGATCCCAGGAAGGACCCCTGTCCTAACCTGTGTCACTAACATAAGAATCCAGTTTAGCACAATATTTATAATAATAATAATAATAATAATAATAATAATAATAATAATGTGCTGTGGAGCATCATGTATTCTTAGCAAATTAATACTGTAGCATAAGCTTTGAAATATTTCCACTCAGCAGAGTGAGTGTGAAGACGTGAAGACAAAACAAAGCACTCCAGCAGAGTGATGCAGAATTACTGCCTTGCTGTCCTTATGTACACCTGAGTTTCAACAATGGCTGCTTTTTGAAAAACGTATGTTTCTGCCTAAGAATCCTGAAAGGTCAGAGGTGGAGAGGGCAGATACAACAATGGGGCACGTGCTCACTTTGTAGTTTTCAAACTGTGTGACTGCAGCGGCTCCTTTAGACCTACAGAGCACGTCTACCAGAATATCTCCATGCGGTTCACATTTTGGCGGAGCTCTGGTTTTGATCCATAACAAGTGCCAGAAGACGTTTTGTCAAGTTTCACAGACTATTCAGCTGTTTCTTCAGTCCTGTGAGCGCTCTTTTCATAAGACCGCAAGGGGACACGTTGGGAGCTTTCCCCATTTCTGGGGGGTTATGTCATTAAAAATGCAGTCACACCCCCCCACCCCCCCTGCCTTAGGCATAGGAGGACAACACAACAACAAAGGTCACCTGGGAGCAGGGGCAGAGCGGGGGTCTCAAAACAGTGGGGGCCAACGGAAAAAAAAAGCGGCGCTTTGTATAATTTGCCGGCTGGGTCCCACTTGGGGTGGGGGGGGGGGGGTGGATACGTACCATAGCCATTTGAGCTGGACCATTGGCCAAAAGACTTTGGGTTCAAGTCTGAGACAGGACCCTGCTACTGA